TAAAATTCAGATTCAGGCACTTGAAAAAGTTCATCATCATATGGATTTTATTTAAAGGCTTCCACCATTAAGGAATAAGGAGCCATAAACTCATTACTTCCACCATTAAGGAATAAGGAGCCATAAACTCATTACTTCCACCGTTAAGGAATAAGGAGCCATAAACTCATTAAGGTAATCTGTAACTTCTCAAAAGATTCACAGCATCACAAACTCACAGTCCACAGAATCATAGAATCACAACAAAGTATCACAAATTCACAATCAAGAGACAAGTGACATGCAATCTGGAACTTCTCAACAGATTCACAATATCATAGTCCACAGAATCATAGAATCACAAGTCACAACAACGACATATAATATCGCATAATGAGTTAATGACATAAATATTAAATAATACACAAAGTGATAAAACTAGAGTTTTCAGAATTACTTCGGCCGGAGAACAAGGTCTTCTGAATTCAACACAGGTCACCGGAGCAATGACTATGGCCTAAACGCCTAGGGCTTCCACCAATAGTTACCGGGCAAACAGCTATGGCCTAGGGCTTCCACCAGAACTTAAAGAGTCCAGAAAACAAAAGGTCACCGCCTCAAACTCTCAGTCCTCAAAGTCAGCAGACCACTGACCACCTAGAAGTCCAGAAGTCCAGAACGAAAGACTCAAACTCTTAGATCAAACTCTCAAAGACTCAAAGAGTCAAAGTCTCAGACTCGAAGACGAGAACTGATAAGAGTCATAAGACTAAGAGAGAACTAAGCACTAGAGACTAGAGAGAATCATGGGCTATTTGGTTCACGGAATATGCTGGGAATGGCATAGCATTCCCAGTAATGGGCCTATTCCGTTGTTTGGTAAACATTTGTATTCCCAGGAACAATGTTCCTGGGAATGACCCATTCCTTCTCCAGGGGGAATAGCTATTACTGGCCCCCCTCCCAGTATTAGCCTATTACTGAACGCTCAGGAATAGATTTTATAATCTATTTTATTTTTTACCCTTTCTTTAACCTAATTTTTTACGTTAATCTTTCTCCCGCTTACTCGCATCTTCTCTCGCCATTGCTGATCAACATCAAATTGAAATTTATCATCAAGGTATTCTTCTAAATTTCTTTTATAAATGATATATATATATATATATATATATATATATATATATATATATATACACACACACACACACACACACACTGCTGCACTCAGCAATATATTAACATGTATAAAGCATGTATACAGCAATTGTATGTTTTATGTTTTATATTTTTGCAATTTGTATGTATTGTTGTTTTATATTGTTTATTATAATCTGTATTTGCATATATGTGTTTTTGATACATGTATAAGTTATTGTTATAGTTTTTATTACTGTAAGTTTTAAATTTAATTTGCAGTTATGACTCGATTGCATTTAATAACCTGTATTGAAAGAAGGAAAAGATGTGTAGCTATATTGCGTGTGTGGTTGGATATGTGTGCTTCTGTGAGTTTATTGTTTATAATGATGATGTCTATGTTGACAATTTTGTGTTGTAATAAAAAATGAGTGAAATCTTATATTATTAATACTTTTGGGTCTCGAGAATATATGTTACGAACGGTGTATTCGTGTGATTAAAAATGCATATCTCAACTTAGGATGAATCGACATGCTTTTGTGAAGTTGTGTGCAATGTTACAAACTATAGGAGGGTTAAGGCCAACAAGAAATATGCTTGTTGATGAGCAAGTAGCAATATTTTTAGATATTATTGCTCATCACGTAAAAAATAGGATGATTCAAAACAATTTTTAAGGGTCGGGAAAAACTATTAGTCGATACTTTAATATAGTATTAAATATTGTTTTGAAACTCTGAAATCATTTATTCAAAGATCCTGAACCAATTCCAGCTACCTCTACATATCATAGACGGAAATGATTTAAGGTAGTTAAACCTATCCCCTACACTTGAGTTATAAATTTAATTACAATGTGAATATATATTTAATAATATTTAATATTATTTCTAGAATTGTCTAGGCACTTTAGATGGAACTTTCATTAGAATACAAGTTCCATCAGAAGATAAACCTAGATATCGATCTCGCAAGGGTGAAATTGCAACAAATATATTAGGTATATATACGCCTAATATGCAATTTGTGTATGTTCTTCCGGGATGGGAAGGATCTGTAGCACAGTAGAGTTCTTCGGGATGCATTATCTAGAAGGCATCCACTTAAGGTCCCTAATGGTAAGCATTATAATATTAAATTCCAAATATCATGTAATATAATATGCATTCTTATTAAACTATAAACTTATGTTTCTAGGTTGTTACTACTTAGTTAAAGGAGGATATGCTAATAGTGAGGGATTTTTGGCACCATTTAGAGGTCAAAGGTACCACTTAAATGAATGGTGGCAAGGTCATCAACCGACAACTCCTCAAGAGTTCTTTAATATGAAACATGCAGCTGCTCGCAATGTCATAGAACACTGTTTTGGGTAATTGAAAATGAGATGGGCTATACTCAGAAGCCCATCATAATAGAATTATAATTGCATGTTGTTTGCTGCATAATTTTATTAGAAATGAGATGAATGTTGATCCTATGGAAAATGAATTCGTACAAGGTAACGGCATACATGAAGATGATGATGTATGTTACACAAATAGAGCCTTCAGAAGTTTGGAATAATTGGATGACAGAATTAGCAAATGACATGTTCAATGAATAGATAGCATCTAGAAATTAAGGACATATTCATTGATGTTTGATTTTGTGATTTGGTGTTTTTTGTAATGTGGTTTATGAACAATGTAATGTGTTTGAGTTTGATTAATAATTTATTATTTCAATTTATTTGTAGTTAAGACTGGCTTCTCCCCTACATCTGCAACCATTGGCTCTCAAAGTGTTAAGCAAACAAAAAGAAAGTGGACACTCAAAGAAGACATTATATTAGTGTCCTGTTTGATCGAAATGCATAATGTAGGAAAATATAATTCTGATACAGGGTTTAAGACAAGTTATTTATTAGAACTTGAAAGAATAATTTTGGACAAAATACCAAATTGTACCATAAAAGCTAAGCCACATATTGAGAGTAGAATTAAAACTTGAAAAAAGAATGGGGCATTATTCATGATATGGTGCAAGGTAAGAACACTAGTGGGTTCGGTTGGAATGAGCAAAAGCACATGGTATATGCTGAAGATGCAATTTGGGAATCATACTTAATTGTAAGTATTTACCTTTTTTTTTTTTTTGCACTTTCATTTATTTTTATTAATGTATACATACAAATAATTTATTTATGTTTATTATAGAGTTACAAAGAAGCTGCACCTTTTAGAACAAGAAGCTTTAGGTTTTATAATGAGTTATCTGCAATATATTCTAAAGATCGTGCAACTGGAAAAGATGCACAGACAGCAGATGACGTAGTTGAAGAAATACAAGCTGAAGAACATAATGATATAAGAGCTGACACGGAAGATAGTGCATTTGTTGGTTTGAAAGATATTGATTTAACGAGTACACAACCTGAGCCACAAAATGATGGTAGAAAAAGAAGCAATTCAAGTAAGAGAAAAAGAAGTCATGATGAAGCTATTGAGATATGTGATGAGAATATGCTTAATACTGCGAAGCTAATAAGCAATACAATATCAGAGGTTGGTAAGAATTTGTCCGATGGTCTTCAATATGATCGTGATATGGATATGTTTAAGAAGCTTGAACGTGCATTAAAAGAGGTTGATGGTTTGACAAATGATGAAATGGACCTTGTTTCGTTTAAGCTCACTGATCATCCTAATAAAGTAGTTTTTTTTCTCAGTCTTGATCCTGATCGAAGACTACAGTGGTTCAGAAGATTCCTTGCTATCAATTAATCATTCTTCTTCATAGTTATATTTTATGAACATTGTAACTATCATTGGATTGTTTTGAGTATTTTGTTAAAAATAACATATGTTATGCTTCTTCTGAATATTGTTAACTATTCTTTAAAAAATTTTGTTATTTATATGACTATTTTGTTTCATAATTTACATATCATTATTTTAATATTATTGATAAGGAATAATGGTGATATGTTGATTACGAAGTTGACTTGATATGATCATGATGATGATCATGATAATATATTAATTACTAGTTGATTATGGAATGATGATTAATTGATGCCTAGTATTAGTAGTAGTAATAATAATAATAATGATGGTGATGGTGATGGTGATGGTGATGATGATGGTGATGGTGATGGTGATGATGATGGTGATGGTGATGATGATGATGATGATGATGATGATATTTTTTTGTATAAGGGCATTTATGTCTTTTAAACATATATTCTATTCCTTAACCAACCAAACATTGGAATACAGTTCCCAATGTCTATTCCTTCTGCGAACCAAACAACAGAATACAATTCTTATTCTATTCTTTACCTATTTCATTCCCTATGGAATAGCATTCCTACTCCCTCCAAATTTATTCTGTGAACCAAACGGGCCATCAGAGAAATCACAGAGAATCGGATATGGATAACGATAGAGAGTGAGAGATGAGAGAACTCGGAGAGTAGAGAGAAGAAAGATTCGAGAGAACGAGAAAATTCTCTAGAAGGGACGAAGGGGTGTGACTCCACAAATGAATGACCTAACCTAGGGATTCAGCTTAACGTATGTATATATAGTACTCTTGGACGATGTCGTATAGCACATAGTATACCAACCCTAACGCTACATCGGATATTCGGACGGGTTCGGGTGGCATTTAATGCCCCCAAACCGATTACCATCACCTCGTTTCTTTGAACCCACGGGTCAGATAGCCATTCTCAAATACGGCCAACCCAAACTCTTTACCCGTCGAATTCGGGTCGGACGATTTGGGCGGGTTATTCGGTTTCTGCACACCCCTAGTCGAACGCGTGCAGTGAACGCGACAATTGGCGGGTTAACTATTTCTTTTTTCTTTTTTTGCATCCGACATGCTTTTTATTTTTATTTTTTAAAGTATAAAATATGTGCCAAGATACAAGTAACATGAGTGAGTTGTAAGTAAGGGATGGGAGAAAGTCACTTTAGGATGTTATTAATGGGACAAAAGAAAACAGTAGTAGTAGGAGTTATACACTTCAGTCTCCTTCACACTATTTTTTTCCCTTTGGTCAGAAGTCTACCTTTCTTCTCTTCCTCACCAAACCAGAAATCTCAGATCCTCTCTCCGCCCACAACAATGGCGACGCCTCCAGCCTACTCCAAGAAATCCCACTTCACACCTCCCCACCGGAAGAAAACAAGTAAGTCATCTCGCTCAAACTCCCTCGGCAAATCTCTGATTGTCATTCTTGTTCTTGTAATTATCCCACTGTTCCCTTCCCAAGCTCCCGACTTTATCAGACAAAAAAGCATCTTTCCCGAGCTCTGGGAGCTCTTGCACCTCATGTTCATCGGCGTTGCCGTGTGCTATGGTCTGTTTAGCAAGAGAAGTCCCACAGTGGATTTAGAAACCCACCCAAGATTTGATGGCTCACATGCTTATCTGTCTGGGATTTCTAATGTGTCCTCAATTTTTGATAATGGGCATGAGAATCTGTATGGGTCTTATGGGAAAATTGGCATGCCTGAGAGTAGTAGGGGTTTTCAGAACTTGGAAGATGAATATGTGGGTAAAGGAAACTCTGAACTAGATGGAGATGAGAGGTGCAGATCTTTTGTGATTAGAAATGAGTGTCAGGGTAGGAAGTTCTCTCAGACTTTGATGAATTCTCAGCATTTTATAGGTGAATCCACGGTCGTCGTAGCTAATCGATATCATAGGACTAACCCTCTCTCGTTTGTTGATAATAAGCCCTTGGGGTTGCCAGTTAGGAGCTTGAGATCAAGAGTAGCTGACACTGATAAGCCTGATATCGATAGCCATAGCGAAGTTGAGAAAACCAGAATTCTTTCTGGTTCTGCAGGTGCTTCTTATAGGGGTAATGATAGTAATGTGTCAGAGACCGAGTTTGAGGAGGCTGCTGCAAATTTGCTGCAGGGCTCGAGACCAAGGAGGAGGGAGTTGGGAGAAGAAACGAGGAGAGTTGATAAGCCTAGTTCACAGTATTGTAGGTCTCAATCTGCTTCAGAATTTGAGTTTAGGCAGTTTAGGCACTTTAGATCCACATCGTTTCAGCAGCCACCATCTTCTCGAAGTAGTTCCAAGACTTGTTCACCGGGTACAAGCACACCCCCGTCCTCTCCCTCTCGAGAACAGCACCCAAACTTCGAGGGAAAGATGGATCTTGAGGAGGAATTCCCAGTCTCGATTTCACAGCCAACAGAGATTTCGGTGCATGGAGATGTGGCAGCAGAATCTAGCACCGGGTCTTCAGCAGAGATGAATATGCAGATGGAAGATGAGTTCGATGAGGGTTTGGGCAGAGAAGAAGTGATGAGCTATGCTAAACCTCCTTCGCATTCTATTGGAGAATCTGAGCATGAGTATATTAAATCTTGGTCATTCTGGCATCCAACGCCTTCTGAAACCAATTCCAAATCGTCTTCTCCCGAACTGCCAAATATCGAAATGCATGATCATCAGGAGAACAAGGACGTTGGGGCTCAATCTATTTCGGTTTCACATCCAATAAATGGAGTAGCAAAGTCTATCTCTTCAAGGAATCAATGGCCTTCTTCGACCGAGATGAATCCACAGAGACCCTCGAGAGATATTCACAAAGATGTTGGCAAGGATGTCAAAAGAATTGGCCCTTTGGACTCACGTGTAAAACCATCACCTTCACCCCGTCCTAAAGTTTTGCTAAGGGGAAAATCAGTGAGGACGATTAGAGCTAGTAGACTCGAGGATGATCTAAGCTCAAATGACAGTGCTTCTGTTAAAAGCAGAAGTCATTGCAGTCCAGTTGAATCATTTTCATCAGTGAAAAGCGTAAATGGCCCTATAAACACCGGGAAAGGTGACACCGTTCCAAACTCAGCTTTTTATCCAAAACAGAACGGGGGAAAAGAGGCCTCGGTTATTGGTGACATTTTGGAGTCAAGAGATGATTCAGTCAGTGTGCTGAATAACTCGGATGTGAGTTCAGATGACGAAAAATCTAGTTCTTACCTCGTTGATGATGTTGAACTAGGAAGTGAGGTTGATAGAAAAGCCGGTGAGTTCATAGCAAAGTTTAGAGAGCAAATCAGGCTTCAGAAGGTTGAATCATTTCGACGATCCACCACCTGATAGATCATTTATCAGAAAGGTATGTGACTATGTGTATTATAAAGCGCCATTGCCGGGGAACTGAATAGAAATCTGGTCTCCATCTCACCAAGACAATGTATTCTTTTATGCTCTGTACATCTCTTATTTGTAGTACTTGACTTGGATACAACTCATACAAGAACCTTTACATGGGAAATATATATATAGGCTCTATTTCTTTCATTTCTTTTCCCCCCTTGAAAGGATACAAATTATTATTGTTGTTATTTTTCTCCAAACTTCTTAGTTCAGGGAAGCCAAGTTTGGCCCCTCAACTATAGTGAAGATGTAAGAGTGACATTTTCATGTATGCCAGGGGTGTGTTTGAAAACCAAGAGTAGATGACATTTTATGAGAATTAATAATACGGAGTAATAATTTTCACATTGACTATCAGTTTGCAATTGTTATACCACATAGATCCATCTTACATTGTGAATCTTGGTCAAAAAATTGTATCTGCACTTAATAAATTTGTGTCAGTAGATGTACATATAATATGATAACAGCAAACACATCATGATCCTGTTTGGTAACATACTTAGCTTATCAGCCAATTTTAGCTTGTTTGCTGTTTGACTTGGTTAACAACCAATATAAGTGTTTGATTAATTAACTTTTTGTAATAATTTATTGCTCCAAAACGTTAAAATTCAAAAAACAGTCATTTTGCATATAATCAACTATCAGCTAACAACTAATTGAACCGTGTTCACCATCCATGGTGAACACGGTGCCTACGGACACCGTTATCTTCCACCAATCTATTTTTTTTTTTAATTAACAGTGCGACTTTTCTTCTTCACATTCACATTTTGCGGTTTCACTTCCTTTTCGCACAAGTTTCTTCAACACTCATAAATTATGAATGTACTGGCATGAATTTATAAATGTGCAGTTATGAAATTATGAATTTTCTTTTATGAGATTATGAATTTTCTGTTATGAGATTATGAATTTTCTATTATGAGATTATGAATATACAGAAAATTCATAATTACATAACTGTAAATTCATAATCTCATAACAGCATAATTTAATAAATGTAAATTCATAATCTGAACATAGAATGCAAAACACTGTTAAGAGCACATTAACTATTTTTTTTTTCCGGTAAAAACGATGCCGTTTGGGACCGTGTTCACCAAGCATGGTGAACACGTTTCCACGGCATAATTTGCGTCTTTCTACAATCAGCTAATGATATCAACTAATCAAACACATTAACTCAATCAACTAACAGCTATTTACCAAACACTCCCAATATGTTAACAGCTATTACAAATAATGTGTTAAAAAGCCACTTCTAAAAGTGATTGGAATTACGCTAGAAAAGACCTGCACCATCTCATCCAAAGTGATCGGAATAGCGGTTATTCAAGCAAATACACATAGTATACACCCAAACATCCAGCATTTTAATCCAAGAAGTTATTGTACAACATACAGTACAGTTGACTCTCCTCAAAGGAGATTACAATGGCATTGAAGGACACTATAAGAGCCTTAAGCATTAGCTTCATCTGAAGGTGCCCTATGGTAAGTAACCAAAGAGCTTGAACCTAAAGGATTCGAATGATACTGCCCGTAAAGTGCATAACAACCAACTGTAATGATGCACAGAACAACGAATCTCACCCAGGCCTCGTAGTGCAACTGCAGAAAACGAAGACACAAATCAGCTTGGCTCTTACTGTTTCAACATCCATTTGCTACGGTTCCAAGACAAAGTTGTTATTGTGCGATAAAAAAAATTATATGATACAGAGTATGATTCTTCATGAGCAAACCTGGGCAAAAAGAAAAATGTTCAGGAAGATACAAACAGCAGGTACAACTGGAACTCCTGGGCAAGAAAATCCCGGTGGATTAGTATAAACCTGCAAAAACAAGAAAGACCGTGAATCCTTGGCAGAAGCTGCTTGGGCACCAAAACACTTCCAAATTCATTGTGCTAAAGAAACGGTTAATGCAATTGGATGATTAATACATAACCACCAACACCTGCAAACAGTTAACACAATTTAATGCGAAGCTGTCAACTAATACAAGATAGCTATTATCAAATGAGGAGCTACCTCGGGTCACACGAGAGCAGTGAAACCATTAGGCAACCAAAAAAATTTCTGTGGACTACTTATTCCTACTTTGTTTCACAAACTCTGCTTTAGAGAACCAAATGAAATGTATCACCACTGTGCTCTGTGTGTAGCTAAAATTTATATTGAAGAGTCACTTTTGGTGAGAGAGCCATCATGCCTTGCCTAAGCAGAGAGCCAGAGAGTAAGCATCCGATAATTCAACATTCCTGTGTTGATCTTACGGTTCTTACCATCAAATTTAATGCAATGCAGAATATTTCAGAACTGTCTAATTGTTTAAGCATATCCACAATGTCATATAAAGTTCTACTTAAGGTTCAAATGGCCATAATTATGGAAGATTATTTGGTACTCTCAGGAATTTCAAGCTTTGGACACCCATGGCTGGTAGCACAAGACGATTACATCAACATACACATGCTGATATTATCGTCAATTTACATTTTGCCACATTTCTTGTTCATTTATATTATGTTACATGCTAAGTTCAATTGAACTGCAGGTTCATATTAGATGCAAATGAACATGAGGGCACATTGAAATGAGCATGAAGTGTAATACAAATGAACACTAAGCATTCAGAGGAAATAAGGTGCAAAATGACACAGTAAAACCAATATCATAGTACACAGGAAAATTTAGGAGGGCATGTTAAAATTTATACATTCAACTCTCCCCCTGCAAAGATATGCCAAATCCAGGTGGACTCCCCCAATTACTAAATATTTGGAGACATACTAGCCAAAGCAAAATAATTGAATTTACTTACTTGCCGGAAATGAAGAGCCGCGGCAGCAATGATGGCAATAACTGCAGCTACAATCACAAAAGCAAATGAAGCACCAAAACGGTAAAGGACTCCAGCAGCAAACCCACAAAAGGCAACTAAGGTGAGGCAAATGATGCCTTCATTCCTGTTTGAAACACACCCTGCGGAGACCTGATTCACAGGCTTATCTTTTAAACGGAGGGATACCACACAAGCTGCAACAACAGAATATCCTGTCTGGATCAAATCAGTGCAATGTGAGTTGCACGAGAATTTAAAACTTATACAATGTATGCTTATATATATATTATTCAAGAAAGCAATTATGACCCTTCAAGGAAAGAAATCCATCGTCAATGCATTATTATTCAAGATCATTTGTCATAAAATGACTCGTCTTGAATTTTATCGGCTTATAGATTAGTCTCATAACTCATAAGTCATAATAATAATTTGCCAGTCAGTTTTAAACACAATGGAGAAGATAATAGAGAAAAACATACCAAGGATCCCACTGAAAGAATGTGCGAAAGCAGTTGCACATTAAATAGACCAGCCATAATGATGGCAACGATCCCAACCCAAACTTGCGAATGAACAGGAGTATGCCTTGTTGGATGCACTTTAGCAAATATTAAAGGCAATAAACCATCCCTTCCAAGCCCAAGATACAGTCGTGACTGCTCAAGAGAAACGTAATAAACAGCATTGCCTGTTGTAACTTGTAAGTGGTTTAAAGAAACCAGATAACAGGAAGAAACTTGAACTTACCTGAACATAAAGCCCTACCATAAGAGTTGTTGTGAGTCCTGCAATAGCACCAATGCTGATCAGCACAGATACATATTTCAAGCCCTTGTCATTGAAAGCCTCAGCCAAAGGAGCATCACCACCAAGGAGTTTGTATGGGACCATCCCAGTAATCACTAAGCAGACAGCAATGTATAGTACTATACAGACCAGGAGGCTCCCTACTATGCCTAATGGCAAGTCTCTCTGAGTATCATTTTATAACATAAGATTAAATAAATGTAGACAAAAATAAAGGTTATGACTATTCTAGTCAATAACTGACTGTCTAATTCATGTTCGACTGCAAATAGTTTACCTGTGGTCTCTTAGATTCTTCAGCAGAATTAGCAACTGCATCAAATCCAACATACGCAAAAAATACCACAGTTGCTCCAGTTAATATTGCTTTAAAACCATTTGGAGCATATGGGGTCCAATTTGAAACATCAACCTCAAAAGTTCCAACAATGATGACAATGATAACAATAACTACCTGCAGAAAATCTTATGTCAGCTTAAAGGGCATGTGGCTGTTGTTGCTCTAGTCATAATTTATTGTTGAAGATCAAGAGAAGACACATGAATGCCCTACTGCACCACAACTTCCATATATATAAATTATATAAAGGTTGAAAAGTAGGATAAAGGGATCACCTTCGTCACTGTCATTATTGAATTCAACATAGAGGATTCTCCAACACCCCGACATAGAACTATTGTCAGAACTATAAGTAGAACTGGAGCTAATAGGTTAAAAGAAAATGCTCCCAAATACTCTTCACTACCATGCCCAACCCAGTTGGGAATGCTATCCTTGAAAAAGGGAATGAGCTCTAATGCATTAATTACATAGCTTGCTAAACTACGTGCAATGCTAGCTGCACCAATATGATAGTCAAGCATCAACTGAGCAAAAACAAGAAAAGCAGTAAGCTCATTAAAAGCTGTGTATGTGTATAAGTAAGCTCCACCAACAACTGCAGGAAAGCGTGACGCAAGTTCAGCATAGCAGAGTGCATTGAGAACACAGGATAGTCCTGCAATTAAGAAACTGATAGTGACACCTGCATTGAATTAGTGAACCCCTTGTTATCAACAATTCAAACAAACAATAAAGTTGAAATAAGGTGTGTATAAAAAGAAAAAGAGAGGTAGGAATAGATTATAGAATTGCATAAAATATAGCAAGTGGGAGAGTATAGGGAGCAAAATATCATTTTTTTCATACTAAAAATTGAACCATGTGCTCCTAATAGGCTTATAGTTGGATTGCATTTATATATTATATGTTCAACAAATCAGCTTCAAACCGGCTCTAATACCAAATTGAAGCATGTGACTAAACTCATAGTTACAAAGCACATTTATGTTTATACATTATATATGCTGAACACTGAACAAGAAAATAATAATTGGACAAACAAATTTAACAACTTGAAATGAATCATAATTAAAGAGGGGAAAATGAAATCTAAAAACTCAAATTAAAATAACAAACATAACAATTCACATACATCAACTGATAATGTATTGTTAAGAAAGAAAAAGGTAAAGAAGGAGAAAGGGAAGTATCAAAATTGGATGCGAACTCACCGGGACCCGCATCGTGGGCAACGGTACCGGTGACGACAAAGATTCCAGCTCCAATGGAGGCGCCAATACCTAGGAGAATGAGATCGAAGAGGCCAAGACGGCGTACTAGGCCCTCGCCGGAGACTGTCCGGACGGCGGCATCGGACGGCGGAGCTAGAGGTTTGGACCGCCTAGCGGATGACCAAAAGTGAGCGAAGCATGAGGTGGACGAGGATGAAGTATCGTCGGGGCGCTTATCGACCCGCATCGTTACTTTATTTCCCGATGATCTCTCAATGCTGTCTTCACGGAAGTCAGCAGCAGATATTTCGTATATTCTTTTGTAGCGGATGAGATAATATCAATTTTGTCTCGTACGGAAAATTCTACCGAAAATTACTTTATTGAGTGAAATCCACTTTTAGTCTTACATTTATTGCGCGATGGATATATTTTATCCGATTTTATTAATTTAGTCATATTTTGTTTAATTTTTTAAAAGATGGACACTTTTAGTCTACCGTTACATTTGTTGTTAAACAGTCGTGAAGTAGGAGGGCAATTTTTGTCCTTTCACGTGTTATTCTTCATCAGTATTACTTCGGGTCATTTTGGCTGAGCTATTGTATTGTCTTCCCAACTCCGATGTCACTTTCATGGTGGATTTATCGATCACAAGAATGCAATTCTCTCTGTGTTGGCACTGAGACGAAGCGAAAACAGAGCCATCGGAGTCGGCGATGGCATTGCCGCCTTGTAAATTCTAAGGTCCAATATATCAGTCCACTCTGTCGACCCGATTCGCCTCCCGTTTGCCAAGTTATAGAAATGAAGTCCAGAATCAAATTTCGACCCTATCGCTGCAATATCCGATCTGAGTTGCGACTCGATGCCATCGGATAAAACCTTATTGTCGCCACTGTTATGAAATACAACCAAGGAAAACACTTTATTAATTTTTACTCCAGGTAAACAGTATTAGGGGATATAGAAGCATTTAATTATTATTGTAACATAGCAAAATTGTGTGTAGTCGTAGTTTTAATTACAGCATAATATTCTTTTCAGGCATTTAATCGCAAGATTCCCACTCCGTCGCCGGCCAGAAGATCCTCCCCGACTGGGGGTATGGCCGGATATACATGGCGGTGGTGGTGACGTGTGGAAATACCCATTTACGAATTACGATCGTCTTCTTCTTTCTGCATGCAAAGATTTTAAGAACGGTAAAATCTTGAATCACATAAGTCGAAGCCGGAAAAATGTCGCCACCGATTCTTGAAGCTTTCAAGAAGAGGAAGAAAACTCTAAAGTTCTTCGGTCTCCACAGTTTTGCAGAGGCGGGGTACCCCATTTTCCCCACCGGCCCGTTTGTCGACAACATCCAATTCTTCTTTCAAGAATGCGTCGAGCTTGAGGACTACGAAGTTGAAAGAATGCCCACCTGGATTACATTTCTGGTCCATGAAAGCAGGGATTTTGCGTCGACAAGGGAGAAGGGAACGACAAACTAGCATGAGGAAGATGACAGTCTACGAAAGAGTCCAACCTACTGTGAACAAATCTAGACTGCGAAGAAACAACGAGAATTTCTCACCTTCCACGCACATGCACCTATTAAAGTTCCTAAAATAACCCTATTCGCCCAAAACACAAACAAAGCAGTGGAAAAAGCCTATTAAAAAAAGAGATTAAACATGCACCGTTGATTGAATAAAATAAAGGGTTTAGATTAGTTCCTAGGTTCCTACCTAAACATGGGTTCCTATATGATTGTTATTCATATATATATATATATATATATATATATATATATATATATATATATATGTATATATTCATATAAAAGCGGAATGTTAAATGTGCTATATAAAAGCGAAATGACTATGAGGTACAATAATAATATAACCATAATTAAATACTAGTATTTGTACCCGTCCAATGCACGGCCATAAATAATAATAATAACATAATTAAACAATATGACATAATACTAACAAAATAAGAAAATTTGTATATAGCAAATTACTAAATAACAATTAACATTATTGAAAACTTATTTGTATACGGTATTTTTAGTCATACTCATAGATTATTCACTATCCTCACAAATCAAAATTTTTAATCCTCTTAGATTACTTATTCTTGAAAGTGCTACGTACATTTTGACCATGATTAAAGATGTAACACCCCCGATTTTTACCACATTTTTAAAACTTAAATTCAAAGGTAAACATCTAATCATCAAGATAAACAACAGCGGAAACTATATAAAATCGGTAAGCGTTATGCCACACCCTCCAACCATGGGTGCACAAGCTAGTCAACAACAATCTAACAAAATATTAACAATTCTAAGGCACGCAGGCCAACAAGGATAAATGTCCAGCAAGGTGTCTATACTAACTAAGGCCCACATCTAGCGCGCTCAGCATCTACTCAAAACCTGTAAAAGTCAAGGGATAACACCCGGTCAGTGAATAATGCTGGCAACCCATCAATACGCGTTAAATAACATAGTATAGATAGATATAATCAAAACCATTTGGAACGGGAATACAGTATATATCATTTCAAAACCAAGGAAGGAAGTCAACATCAAAGACTCATCAATCACTCACAATAAAAACGAGGATCATCCTCCTCACAATAACAACAAAACCACAAACATGAAAGACAACACAACTCAGGATGCATCCTACCGTTCACAAGGTAGAATACATCAAGACATGCTCATAAGCAAGGAAATCACATTCATACAGTGACAACTACATGTCACAAGTTTCATAGTTCCAACCTTATGCCCTGTTCCAACATTATGGCTACCCCGACCTTATTTCGGTTCCAACCATTACCTCCTAGTGTCACCCTGTACTTCTGAGTCCAACCTTTTGCCTCCGCGGATCGTCGCCCCCCCGTCGACACTCCTATTCACCGCCGATCTCTCGGTACACGAGGGTACCATTAAATATCATAATCACAAAACCGCCAATCTCGTGAGCAAAGCTCAAGTAACAAACCACCAATCTCAATCATAGTCACACAAGGTCATCATCATTACCAAGAAGACTAAGACTCAACAATATTCTCAATCAAGTATCAACAAAGGTACAACGATTTGCACACGATCACTTCATAGGAATCAATCAAGAGATCACAATAAAGACATGAGATCCTACTCAACAACAAAGGATTACAATCCACACCTAATGATTGTCAACACAAGTTGCCAATCCCAACATGAAGGAACAAACCACACATACTAGCATTTCAACATCAAACTAGTATGCTTATCAAATGGGTAAACCAAAAGTAGTTCCAAAGAACATTCAAGACTCACGTTAGCCCAACGAATCACAAAGGTTGACCCTTAGCACGATTTAAGACACCAAATCCTACATGGATTCCTAACACACCGTTCTAGACATACGAAACATCAAGAAGACTCACAAATAGCCCATTAAAACAACAACGGAAGGTCAAAACATCAATACCGAGAAGAAAGAATCACATAGAACAAATCCCCGCACATCACCAATATGGTACCCCTCGGGTGGGGCCACGGGTGGACCTCCACCCGTGGTTCCGTCCGCGGGTACATACACCCACGGGGCTGGTTCCCGCGGGTGGGGCGGCGGGTAGGCCTCTGCCCGCCGTTCCGCCCGCGGGTACACCCCTGTACACCAACATTTCCCTTCGGAGAAAATTAACAACAAGGCCAAGTTCAAGTCTAAAACACCCAAAATCTCACACACAACAATAATATGACTTGAACCCAAGAAATAGCAAGCAATGGCATTCAAGAACCCTAAGAACAAGCTCTAAACATGCATCACCACAAGATCATGCATCAAATCTCACAAATCAACGCAAGAATAACAAGTAGAAGCCAAGAATCATAAGTAAGAAAATAGGTTTTGTATAGCATGGGTTACCTTTGTAGCCTAACAACTTCTTCTTTTCACCCTTAATAGCCTTTCCTAGAGCTCCTCTTCAGATCCTAACACAAACCAAAACACAACAAAGATCCTAACTTTAGAAAAAGACACCTAAAAGAAGGTTAAAAACACCAAAAAAGCTAAGGATCTTACCCTTTCCTATGCTCAAGAAGGAGAAAGTAGGAATCTTGGTAGGAAATCTTGCAAAGCTTTGATGCTCAATTTCTTGCTTGGAGAAGAAGCTAAATCATTTTAGAGAGAGGCTAGAGTTTTTGGGTTGAAAGGATGAATGAAATGGGAGAGTCTTGCTAGGTTAACTTGAATCAAAATTTTAGGTGAAAAGACATTTCTACCCTTACTAATGTTGGAAAGACAATGGAACAAGGGCACAACTCAAGAAGCACAAGGTACAACCTTTTAACTTAAGTGACTAGTCAAAATCTAGTCCCTCGACTATTAAATTTCATGATGTATAGAAAAAGATTAGCAAGGAAACTTGGATTAATTCTTCAATTAATCCTCGATTAGTGTTTGGATTTACGGGGTGTCACAAAAGATATATTTTTTCAAAAACAAATCCACGTGTTATATAGAAAAAATGCTAAATATAGTATAAAAAAATATATGAATTTAATTCATATTATTTTTCAATTTAGACAGTTGACAGATAATTTAAACAACCATTAAATTTTATACACAAAAGAATGCTAAACCCAATGATGAATTATAAATTTGTTTTAAATTTCGGTAACACAAATTATACTAAAGTGAGACGTACTACTATTCTCTATATATTTTAATAAAATCAATATATATATATATATATATATATATATATTAATCTTAATTATATAGGTTCTATTTGGCCGAGCTTATTTAGGAGCTTATAGCTTATTTTAAGCTACTAATAAGCTATAAGCCCTGTTTGGTAATGTTCTCAAAATAAGCTCCTAGCTTAAAATAAGAGCTTATTTTGAAACGCTATCTTAGGTAGCGTTCCAAAATAAGCTCCTAGCTTTCTAACTTTTTTTTCCATCTTTATCCCTATTATTTTAAAGAAATGACATAATTTACCCTTCCTAATTAAAACTCTTTTCTCTTCTCCTTTATCCGCAACTTCCACCTCAAATATTATTATTATTATTATTATTATTATTATTATTATTATTATTATTATTATTATTATTATTATTATTATTATTATTATTATTATGAGATTTGCGACAATATTGCTACTTCATTATGAGATGCTAGATCATGATTATGCTAATAGTTTTATTTCAAAATGTTAATTTTTTTTAAAGACAAAATGTTAAATTTTAATATGTAAACAAACTAATTTAAATTTTATGAAGATGTCCTTTTTAGTCTTTTTACATTTATCAGCTTATCAAAAAGCTAATTTTACCAAACACTTTCAATCATAACAGCTAGCTTAACAGCTCTTCAGTTTTCAGCTTCGAGCTTATAGCTTTTCAGCTAGGTTTGCCAAACAGAGCCTTATGATATATATAGCTGTATAATCTACCTCCATATTAATACAAAATATATATAAATGAAATTAAAATTAATAATCTAACTCTATTAAATAACAATCATTATTACATGGATCATGATCCACACAACTGTGTCGATCATAAATAAAAAGTACATTTTTTATATACTAAAAGTATATTATTTTTGTATGTAAATTATATTTTTTGAGAGTACATGTCCACCATGCATTTTTTGATCCAAATGCATAGAAAATAATATATGTATTTATATATATACATATATATATATATATATATATATATATATATATATATATATATATATATATAAAGAGTTTCTTCGCAAAATGTCCCTCGAGTATAGCTCATTCTCAATTTTACATTTCGACTTTCAATTGCACCCAATATGGTCCATTGACTTTTAAAAATTACCTCGAATTAGTCCTCCGTTAAGTTTTGCAATAACTTAGCATTAAAATTGGGGGTATTTCCGTCAATTCAACATAGTTTGACCATTTTGTTCATTAACGTGATTAATGGAGTTTTGACTTCATGGAGGAAACCCAGTTTGACCATTTTTTTTCATCAATTGCACCCAATGTTTTGTTCATCAATTTGAGGCTTAATGCTTCTACCAACCCACCAATTCGAAGCTTATGCCTCTAGCAGCGGCGATGGTTTAGGATGGAGACGAAGGCATAGTGATTGAAGGCGAGGGAGTGGCGGTGGCAGCACTGGTCACCGGAGCTGGAGGAGCGGCGGCGACGGCACTGGTCACAGGAGCTGGAGAAGCGGCGGACAACAGTTGAGACTCAAGTTTTCAACAGTTTATTTATGAGCAGTAACTAAAGATTACAGTTGTATCCACAGATCTTTCACCACTACACAAGTATACAACCCCCCACGCATCAACTTAAAGAAGAAATAAACGGTAAAAAACTATACTTTTGACTTTCTTTGTTCATGCTATTGCTAAATTTGCATAAACAGTTGAAGAAAACATACAACTTCAACACACTCTTCCTCTATATCCTCCTGATCAGATCAGTTCCCCTTTCATCATAATCTACAGAAATATACTCTTCAGTTTCATACTCAGTTTCGTTGTCCTCCATACAACAGTTAAAACCATGGGTAATGATCCGGACCCTGCCCTAGGCTCAACCACAGCCTCGGAGTGACCATGCAAAGCCTCCATTGACGTTGACTTGAGAGTTCACAACAGGTGGGCGATCAACAAATTGGCGATGGCGATCAACATCCCTAGCATCTATGACTCCAACGGTGGACTCTGATTGCCCATGCAAGGCCTCGATCGACAGGGAGCGGTGGTCAACGAAATCGAAGTCGCGACGCGGTTGTTCGCAAAACTGGGCGGAGTCGGTTTCTTTCGGCGTGGAAGTCTGCGGATGATCCTGGCATGGAAGAGTATGGGTTGAGATTGGATCTGAAAGGGATGCTGATCGTTAGGTGGAGCGGCATTCCAGAAATGACTCCAAACATCAACTCCTGTAACTACTTCGACAACGACGATGAAGTCACGATGTCGTATTGGACACGGGACTCCTTCCCCAACGACGATTGCGACCGGTACGGCCATTGTGAGCCGTTCGACGTTTGCGAGCACTCAAATGGCGGGAGTGAACACTGAACAGAGCCATTGGGTTGAAGGGATGTGAGGAGCTCTGTTTGAACAACTGATCGTGCACGAGCCAAGAGAGAACATAAACAATCGTTTTGTCATGAAACCGTGTTCACAGGGGCGGAGACACCCCCTACCCCAAGGGGGGCCCTGGCCCCCCCACCCCACCCCCATTTTTAATAAATATATAGGTATATGTTATTATAATAGGGATAAATTACAATTTTGGCTCCCCTCTTAATTTTTTTTTAAAAAAATAATGTATTATGTATATATTAAATGAACTCGAAAGTTACACTTTTCGTCCCTAAGTTATGAGATAATTGTAGAATTCGTCCATAATTGTTGGTCGTGTTCACTTTTCGTCTCTAAACTATAATTGACGTTGCAAATTTCGTCCTTTAAATGACATGTTGTGGTCACTCTTCCTTTCTAAGCTATACTTCGTTCCTAATGTTTTGTTAGTAAAGGGACGAAATTTGCAACATCAATTACGGAGAATATTTTAGGGACAAAAAGTAAGCATGACTAATAATTATGAATTCTTCAATTACCCTATAACTTAGTGGTTAAAAGTGTAATTTATTCTATTTTTTACTATTGTATAATTTTTGTGTTATGTAAAAAAAATTCAAAAGTAACGTTTGACAATCTTAACGATCGTACTCATATAATTATATATTTCATATATTATTGTACATAGTATAATTAAAAATAATTATCAATAATAATTGGCACAATCATATATGGTATATATATAATAATATTGTGTGGTTGGTACTAATATGGACTAAGATAATAAATTTCTTCTATAAATTTGCCCCCCCCCCCCCAACGGTAACCGTGCACCGTTATTTTTTATTTTTATTTTTTTCTTAATTAATTGCGCGAATTTTCTTCTTTATTTTCACATTTCGCAGTTTCACTTCCTCTTCGCGCAAATTTCTTCAACATTTATAAATTATGAATGTGCAATTATACAATTATGAATTTTCTGTTATGAAATTATGAATTTTTTGTTATGAGATTACATAACTATAAATTCATAATCTCATAACAGAAAATTCATAATTTAATAAATATTTTTCTTTTATGCAATTATAAATTTTCTGTTATGAGATTATGAATTTACAGTACATTCATAATCTCATAACAGAAAATTCATAATATGAACAAACGCGCGCCGTTAACGATACATTAACTAATTTTATTTTTTTTCGTAAAAACGACACCATTTGAATCCGTGTTCACCATTCATGGTAAACACGTTTCCAGGGCATAATTTGCGGAACATAAACCACAAAACGCGGAACATAAACCACAAAACACAAGGAAATGACCAAAATACCCAAAACTTAACGCCTGGTTAATGGAAAAGGTAATGGAGAAGACCAATTTTGGGTAATTTTTAAAAGTTAAAGGACCACATTGGCTGCAATTGAAAGTTGGAATGCAAAATTGAGAATGAGCGATAGTCGAGAGAACATTTTGGGGAAAAACTCTATAATAAATTATAATCCATCTACACATGTAGCAATTATAATGATTTAAAAAAAAAAAAAGTCTAGAACAAATCGTCTAGACATTTCCGATTGTTTATCTATCTGTGTCTACTGCTATCTAACGCTCAAATCTTCTCTGTTCAATTCATCTCATTGTCTTCATCATTCATTTTGTCTTCATCATTCATCCTTGTTCTTTCGCTTCTACATCTTAGCTCGTCTGCTCTCTATCTTGCAATCTCGATTACAAAGGTATGTATTCGGCCTCTGTCTTCTACACCTCTGTTGTTAATTATATTTGTAATTCATGCAATTAAGGTTTTCTCGTTATTAATTTGTGTAGTTTGAAGACTAAGAGCAATTCGTATATGAATTTAGAAAGGAAATTAACTACAAATTGTCTTAATCTACAATCTAGGGTTTCTTATTCCATTAAACTAAGGTTTTTTAAATAAAAGTCGATGTACAAGTAATTATTTTTGGAAGAAGAGCATTGTTCCTCTTATATAGAGGAGCTTAAGAGCTCCTCTTTCCAAACACTTTTAATGTGGGACCAAAATGATCCCACATCATTTACAAAGGGGAGCGACTCCCCTTTGTCTTCTTCTTCTTATTTTTTTTTATTTTTTATTTTATTTTGTATATAATTTGTTTGGATTATTATTATTATTATTATTATTATTATTATTATTATTATTATTATTATTATTATTATTATTATTATTATTATATTAATAATAATAATATTATTATTATTATTGTAATTTTATTTTATTATTACATTACTATTACTACATATGGTTTTTATTATACTTGAACAATAATATTGTCAATTATATTATAGAATATAATACCATACATAATATTATCAATTATGCAATGTTACCAATTAATAAATTTTAATTAATTTCTATTTGACATTTTTGTTTATCAAATAAGCTTTACTACAAAAGTTTGAGCGGGAAAAATGAAATAGGAGGATTTTGTTTATATATATATATATATATATATATATATATATAGATTAATAAAATATTATTTGCTTATAAAATTACGCTCCCCAAGGAATTTTTTCATTTATTATGCAGAATTTATTTCCATTATTTTCACAATTATAATGATTTAATTATTCTCAGAATTTGATAATTATTTTTCATTTTTAAGTACATATTGACTTTAATTTGTGGTAAAAATTTATTAAATATTAATTAATTTTTATATAAAATTTTGTTACTAATTAAGTATTATTACATTTTTTTTATCAATTAATTAATATTCATATTAGTTTGGATAGGAAAGATGAAGAGGAGGATTTTACTTTTATTAATAGTATTGTTTATATTTTAGATAGAAAATAGAGATATATGTGTTTCATCATAGGACTTTTTTTTTTTTTTTTTTTTTTTTTGTTTTTTCTTTTGGTTCATAGAGTATTTCTTTCATTTCGTAAGGATTTATTGAGAATAAAAATGTATTGGAGTAATTAGATACAGTGTTAACTTATACAATATTTTTTTTTTCAATTTTGCTCTTTTCAATATATTTGATTGACTTATTTTATAAGTGAGTAAGCATGAAAAGAATCTATATAATATGGAAAGATTTTATTTTTTTGCAACACTTGAAAAATTGCTCATAGGAAGACGAAGAAATTTTGTTATTAGTTGTTGATTAAATGCAATGTTTTTTTCTGTTTCCCCTTTGTCATCCGTTGCAATTTCGAAGAGGCATTTCCTCAATCGCTTGCAAAGCATATATGTTTCTTCACACCATACAAAGATTGATAAAGTAAAAAAGATGTTGAAATGAAGTAAGTCAAAGAGTGTAGTGATTGTTCATGGCTTCAATGTCAAAACCCCTTAGCTTGGCCGAAGACTCCACCCTCCCTTTCAGTGTATGAATCTCTCTCAGCCTGCACATTATTCACATTTCAATTGTCTCAGAGACTAAAACAATCAAGAATTGCAACTCACCAAACAACAAATAATGGAAACAACCAAGAATTGCAACTCACCAAACAACAAATAATGGAAGTGAAAGAAGACACAATGTTGCAGAAGGCGCTAGATGCTAATTGGGCGCTTAGACGGTCGAGTAATTATATATTAAAAGAAAACGTAGTGGTTGTGAACTATTAACTAGATATGTTAGTTAGACTGTTTATTGAGAACTTGACTCGAGTAATATAATATGGAAGAGGAACAAGTGAGGCTAGCAACAACGACCAGGCGACTCAACAACTCAATACTGACTTGATTGAGTTGGGCGCTAAGTTGGATGTCGACTCGACCAAATTGGACACTTAATTGACTGACCGACTAAAAGTTATCTAGAGCTAAAATCTTTTCGATCTATAAGCGCCCAGCCTTTAGGCTGCCGCTTAGACCTATTTTTACAACAGTGAAAATAAGAGGTGAAAAAGGAACCTTGCAATCTCAGCGCGCTTTCTGGCTTCTTCTGCAATAAGGCTGATTTCCTTGAACGTGGTGCGGTCTGAAAACAATTTGGTCTCCCCTCCATCAAGCCCATGCAGTGTTCTCTGCTCAGCAGCCCACGCCGCCTCTCGAACTTCTCTTCCAAAGTCCTTTGTGCTCGAGAATGCAGTCTGCAGATCAAATGCAATATAATTATCAGATGAGATGTGGTTCTAAACAATCATCAACTTTAAAATTTTAGCTTTAAGACTCACTCTTTTGTTCACTACTAGCCCCCAGGCTCTCCCACTCAGTGCATATCGGACAGCGAGTTTGATAGGATCAAGAAGCATGTAAGTGACAATGTTGTACAACCAGATCACACCAGTCCAACCCCATCCTATGTTTCTGATCCCTGCAAAACCCCAATCTGCAGTTGCTGATATAACAGTTGCAATCTGCAAAACAGGCGTTACTTCATTATTGTCTTCACTTGAGTTCGATCATTTATTGTTGGGTGGATGTCAATAAAGGGCTAAGTCCATCAATTGGTGGCTAGGGGATTGTTAGGCAGAGGCCTAAAGGGCCTTCTCTCTAGCGGGGAATTGTTGGGCGAAAGCCGGTAAAAGGCCAAGTCCAACTATAGCTTTTGGTGGAGTGGTAAGCTCATCCTAACTGTTATATATATATATATATATATATATATATATATATATATATATATATTGGATCAAATGCGGACAGGACTTTCCATGCAGATTGCACCATTAGGTGTCGCAAATTATGCCGTGCAATCGTGTGCCCCATGCATGGTGCACACGGTTGCAAAAACGGCGTCGTTTTGATTAAAAAGACACGTCCGACTTTAAAAAAAAAAATCAGTTTCGATTGCCGTTAACGGTGTTATGTTGTGCATAATTTGAACTATATATCCAGAATTAATGAACTATATATCCAGAATTAATGAACTATATAATTCAAATTATGCACAACATAACTCCGTTAACGACAATCAAAACTGAATTTATTTTTTTAAAGTCGGACGTTAAAACGATCTCGTTTTTGCAACCGTGTGTACCATGCATGGTGCGCACGGTTGCACAGCATAACGCTCCCATAAATGCATCATATAGTGACTAGAATAAAATGCACAAATGTACCACACCTAATAATGCATTTCCGAACACTTTATAATGCATTTATGCATATCTAATGGTGAGTGATTGCAATGGAACCTAACCCTACATATATATGGTGCAAGTATATATAGGCGGTTAGGTCTTATTATATATACCAGCTGAGCAATGATGAAGGCTGTAACAAGGAGAAGACCAGGTCGTTCTGTGAAAGAAAAGCCCCTAGAGCGAGTCACAAAAATTAAGGCCTGGCTAATGGTGCTGACTTGAAGATACAGAGCAGATGCCAAATGTTCTTTAAGCTTCTTGGCTACATCCTCATCATTTTCCATATCAAAATGGTGCCTATTGAAATCCTGCACACCAAAAGCTTTCTGCAAAAAAAAAAAAAAAGAATCAAAGATAGATAATGTTGCGCCGAAGCCTGTAACGGGCCAAGTTCAACAATTGATGGGTAGAGGATTATTGGGCGGAGGCCGGTTACGGGTCAAGTCCAGCAATTGGTGGGTAAGAGATTGTTGAGCGGAGGCTGGTAAAGGGACAAGTCCAGCGCCCGTAATGACAGTTTAAGGAAATAAAGTTAGTTGCTCCTTTACTACGAGCTATAACTTTTGGCATAATGGTAAAGGATTGATCCTAACAGATATATACCCAAAATGCTAGCTGCAGGAACAAATTGCAGTATATATATATATATATATATATATATATATATATATATTGAGAGATGAAATGAGATGCATTATATTGCCAATTACCTCAAAGAAATTAGTTTCATATGCAAGCCAGAAGAATATGACAGTCATTAAAGCCATATAGGCACCTAGAACAATCCCAGTGGTGAAGATCTCGCTCAGCTTCCAACTGTCTGGAACTGGAGAAGGTTTCACCCTATCTTTCGATATTGTCATGATTGTACCTATAAAACAAGCAAGTCGGTCCTTCAGATACCAAATCGAAGCATGCCCTCCGTCTCAACTAAGCTGATAGTTGGATTGCACATTTATGTTTATATATTATATGCTCAACAAACAGCGCCACGCAATAGAACCCGTGACACAACTTCTAAACGATCGATCACTAACCATCGTTGAGGATTGCAATGACAAGAACCATAAAAGGGGGGAAATCAAATTTCCAAAACACAGTCAGCAGCATGAATCCTAGCTGCATACATGAAAGAGTTGATATATATTATGTTATAAACCTTACGAGACCGGTATATATTACCAAAATCTCACATTACTTACAACAATACGGATAGTGATGGACACAGCATATATCTGCAGAAATTAAAGCGACAATGTTATTTTAGGAGATCACGAAATTCAGAGGTTACCAGAATTGCGGTTTCTTGTTTTTAGTTACCGTGTAGTTTTTCATTCTTTGGAAGATTGCCCTGCTGGTTAAGACTGCACTGATGATGACACTTAAACCGGGCTCGGTTAGGACTATGTCAGACGCGCTACGAGCAGCGTCAGTAGAATCTGCGACCGCGATACCAATGTCTGCAATCTTTAAGGCCGGGGCATCGTTTACACCATCACCCGTCATTCCACAAATGTGTTTTCGAGCCTGTAGCTTCTTCACAATCTCGTACTTATGCTCTGCAGATAGATAGGGGAGTTAGGATTATTATCATCATATCGAGCTGCTTGCACTAATTCGTGAACAAATTTAGAAAACGTACCGGGAAAAACACCAGCAAATCCATCGGCCTTCTCGATCAGTTCATCCACTGGCAGAGTTGCAACTGCCTCGTCCTTTGTTTGCCCGAGCAACGAAGACGAAGGGTACATATTCGTGCCCATTCCGAGCCTTCGTCCCGTTTCCTTAGCAATCGCCAATTGGTCACCTGTGATCATCTTGACACTTACACCAAGATCAAGCGCACGACTGATGGTTTCAGCACTGTCGTGGCGAGGAGGATCAAAAAGCGGGAGAAGGCCAACGAACTCCCACGGGCCACCTGGGCTCTCTTTCGTGCCCTCGGGTACTGCCTACAGATTGAAGAATAGCGTAAATATTTACTAATAACACCCGGGGCACCCTATCCAAGAACAACGATTAGTTCATCTATTTGAGCTACCTGGTAAGCAACTCCAAGAGAACGCAGCCCACGTTCCGCAAATCTGTCAATAATAGTGTGCACCTTGCGCTCGATTTCTTTCTTATTATGAGCTAGATTAAGAATCTGTTGAGAGCATGAAAAGTCGAAAACAAAGTTAGCAATGGCGACAATAGCAAATGAAATGTTGTTCCTAAATTAGACTCACTACCTGCTCGGGTGCCCCCTTGCTTACTCGGTGCATTTTCCCGGCTTTATCAGTGTATGTCAGAGCGGTCCTTTTGTCGGTTGGATTGAATGGGAGGAAGTGAACTTCGGTGATCCCAGCTCGAGCCTTAAACAACCAACAATCATCAATCGAAATGAACTAACCTTCGACCCAAAAACTCACAAAAAATTTTGGTTTCTTAAATACCTCCTTGGGATCTGAGAGCATTGAAACGATAGCAGCATCAATGGCATCTTGATTTTCTAGCCTCGACGCCATTGCAGCATACAATACCACCGTATCTTTGTCGATATTTTTGGGAAAAACCTGAAAAAACAAAAACAGTGAGCCTTGACCTTTATGTTCATTTTCCTCTAAAATATACGGTTTTGACAGAACAAAAACAAAATCAAAGGTCTTAATAACCTCAATCAAGTTCTTATCAACACTAAGCTTGTTGAGTGTGAGAGTGCCAGTTTTATCACTGCACAGCACATCCATCCCGGCCATCTCCTCGATGGCAGTCATTCTCTTTGTTATGGCACCCTGCATAATGATGGCCCGGGCCGCTTAGTTAAACCTTCTTCGCTTGTGATCAAAAGCAAGAATTGCGGTTTTGAATCTACTGACCTGTTGTGATAAACGGTGAGAGCCTATAGCCATGGTGACAGAAAGAACGGTTGGCATGGCAATTGGAATGCCACCAATTAGCAAAACGAGTAGATTATCAATCCCGGTTCGATAGCCTCTTTCTTGAATCCCATATATTGCAATAATTTCTATAACCATCCCGATGGCAATCGAGCAAATGCAGAAGTTTCCTATGGAAGTCAGAACCTGACAGACAACACATGAAACATAATTTGAATCCTTAACAACAATATATTCTGTCGAATTCTTGGAGGTTTAAGAGAGAAACCTGCTGGAAATGCCCAACATGTGTTGTGTTTTCAACAAGATGAGCTGCCTTTCCAAAGAAAGTATGAACTCCAGTTGCAATAACAACTGCTTCGATTTCACCTTGCTTACAGGTTGAACCTGAGTAAACACCATCACCGGGATTCTTGGTTACAGGAAGGGATTCTCCGGTGAGAGCAGACTGCAAAAAGAGTTGAAACGTTAAACAAAAGCACAAGATTAATCTAATGCACAGACTCCTCCTCCTCTTCAGTTCATATCTAAAGTTGTTGCACAGAGGCCGGTAAAAGGCCAAGGCCAAGTCCAGCACCATGTGGCTAGGGGATTGTTAGGCAGAGGCCAATGAAGGACCAAGTCTAGTACTCGCCCACCAATTCCTACTCGAACCCGTGACTTGTTCGGATCAGGTGTTTACCACTACGCCAAAAACTATAACTCATAGCGAAAGCACAACGCGCTTGATCCTAACAAGTGGTATCAGAACTAGGTAACGGATTCGAGTCTTAGCAAGAGCAAAAACTGTGCAGTTAAGACTGACATGTGCTGGGAGGGCCCGAGGGGAAATTATTGGGCAAAGGCCGATAAAGGGTCAAATCCAACAATTGGTGGTTATACTGATTGTTGGGTGGAGACGGGTGAAGGGTCAAGTCCAGAATCCTACCTCTTGAAAATGTGACAGTATATAAGAAAATAAAGTTACGCCTTCGCCATAAACTATAGCTTTTGGTGTAATGGTAAGCGTTTGATCCTAACAATAGTTATATTTACCTGATCAATCTTTAGTGGATCGCCTTCCAGGAGACGAGCATCGGCTGGAATAATGTCTCCTAATTTGATACTAACGATATCACCAGGAACCAACATCGAAGCATCTTCCTCACTCCATTTTCCATCTCGCAAGACCTGGAAATAGTAACTCGAGACTCAAAAACTTCTCCATCAAGAGCATAAAGTAAAAAAGTGCTAAACTTGAAAGGTGCTGATAATGAGATTTCACAAGGAATTGAAGAAATAAAACCTTGGCTTTTGGAGCTAAACGAGCCATAAGAGCGGCAGCAGCATTGCCAGCATTGTTTTCCTCGATAAAACTAATGGTGGAGTTGATAATAAGCAATGCTATGATCCCTGCAAAGTCATAAACATCTGGACCCTTCCCCTGCACGCATTATATTCTCGAATTACATTGTCAAATTCAGAACAAAAGGAGAATCAATGGACTAATGAAACTAGTAAGAAAATGAGCATCCAAACATATATCCTTACCCCTCCGTTGGCCAATGCAATAGACATTATAGCCGCTGCTTCCATCACCCATGAAAGCGGGTTCCACATAAACCCCAAAAACTTGAGTATTTTGTTCTCCTGGGGGTGGAAAAACAGCATACTATAAGTAAACAAACAGAAAGACTAAAGGCATAGAAAAATTGTTGGGCGGAGGCCAGTAAATGTCAAGTCTAGCACCCGGTGGCTGGGGAACTGTTCGGCAGAGGAGCCAAGTCCAACACCCAACTTCTCGAAAATGTATAGCAGTATAAGGAAATAAAGTTATGTCTTCGTTATTAGCTATACCTTTTGGCATAAGTGGTAAACCCTTATCCTAACAAGTGGTAGCCAAAGATGAAGGAATGTCCAAATTATTAAAGAATCTCCTAACCTTTTTCTCTTCGAGTTTATTGTATCCAAACATAGCCACCCGCTCTTGAACAGCATCTGCACTCAAACCTTCTCTTGTACATTTAAGATGATCAAACACTTCCTCTAGAGGTATGTTTTCCTGCACAACCCGAAATTCTAGTCTCAGCTATTGCAACATTGGGTCCTTAAAGACCATTCTTTATCATGGATTCATGGACACACACACATATATTTGTTTGTTCAGTCTTTTTGGGGGCAGGGGTAAACCTCGCCTTGTGACCCTAACCAGTAAAAGACCACAAAGAGGTAAACCAGCCTAGGTTACCTATAGCTGACCAGCTCAAACCAAGGGACAAGAATTCAAACTCGTGACCTTGTGGTTGCAAGTGTGAATCTCTTGTCATCTTGGCTAGGGTGACCCCATATATTTGTTTGTTCATCCCTTTTGAGGGGTGTGGGTAAACCTTGCCTTGTACCCTAGTCGGCAAAGGACCACAAAAAGGTAAACCAATCTAGGGTACCCATAGCTGACCGGCTCAGGGGGCAAGAATTCAAACTCGTGACCTTGTGGTTGCAAGTGTGAATCTCTTGTCATCTTGGTTGGGGTGACCCATATATTTGTTTGTTCAGCCCTTTTGGGGGGTGTGGGTAAACCTTGCCTTGTACCTTAGTCGGCAAAGGACCACTAAAAGGTAAACCAGTCTAGGTTATCCATAGCTGACCGGCTCAAACCAAGGGGGCAAGAATTCGAACCCGTAACCTTGTGCTTACAAGTGCGGATCTCTTGCCATCTTGGCTGGGGTGAACCCCAACACACACATATATATAGGAAGTAGATCGAGTGAAATGTGGATTTCTCCCAATCAGAAGGACTCTACTATAAATAAACACTACGACATACCAGATCAACAGCTTCCTTGATAACAGCAGTGAGAGCAATAGACTTATCATCATCTGCCATGGCTCCTTATTCTTCACCCTCAAATTTCTTCTAGATAATCTGCAACTTCATATAAATGGTTTAGCAACGTAATTACCCTTACTTACACAAACATAGAAATTGTTAAACCGATTTTCATAGAGCATGCCAAAATGCAAGCTAGTAGCTATTATGCATGCATTATCGAGTAGTATTTAATTTCTACCCGGCCGTATGATGATCCTATCAAGTTGTATGATGAAGCATTCAATGTTAGTTGAAGAGGACAGGGTACTACAAGAACAAAGCACAAATTATGACAAGTATATATAGGCATGTGGAATGTGGCGATATGAGCATAGGAGAAAACAACAGATCAAAACAAAAGGGAAATGGAAAGAAAGAGAATATAATGCTCCAAATGTAGACAGAGGGTTGGTGAATATTTTGAGGAATTGAAATAGCCGGCAATGATCATACATATGTATATTATTAAGCTGTGTAGATTGTAGAGTGAAGGACAAAGGCTTAGTTGCCGCCATTGGATACAACGAACAAGTACATACATAGTTGTACGGGCTTATATGTATTGTATACCCCATTGTTAGTTTATCAACACTACTTGTGTTTTCCTATCATTCCCATATGTACCTTGCCCTTGCCACTTTATTGTCCGTCTTCTAAATCCCATTTTTTAGTGTCCATTTCAAAATCAATTTAATTTTGTATTATACGTTTTACATAAGAAAAACTCATATTTAGAGCATCCTCAATAGTTGTAATTTTTGAAGAATTTTTGCAGGTGTGATTAGAAAAGAGAGATAGGAGAGGAGAAAAAAAAAAAATCTTAACAAAAAAAAAAAAAAAAAGAACTTTTACTCGCCTGCGGTTGTCATTTCTCCACGCACAAACAAACGGTTGTCATTTCTCCACGCAGGCCTTACATGCTCAGTCCAAAAACTTCTCCCTCCTCACCCTATTTCCCCCACATAAGTCTTGTTTTCTCAAAAACCACACCAAGATGCATTGATGGAGATGCTCTAAGAGTCCGAAGGAAAATTATACAAACCAGCTATTTTTTATTTTACTTTTCCCATAGTGATCCTTGAGCTACAAAGTAGAGATTATGAGATGGGAGCGGAGTCTCAAGCGACTATGTTCATTATACCATGAATCATAGTCTACCTTACAAAATAAACTATTGACATAAGATTCATTTTTAGCATGATAAAAGTTCACTTTTAATACATAATGTTTATTTTTTAAAAGGTTTATTTTTTATGTACTAAAAATTCATTTTTAAATATACTACGAAAAGATGAACTTTCAATACATTAAAATGAATATTCAATAAACTAAAAATAAACATTTATCTGCAATCCACATTACAATGTGAACCATGATCCATAGTTTAATTTGCCGAAGAGGTTAATTGCAATCTACAAAATCTAGACCGAGGCCAGAGCTGAAACGCATCCAAGGAATTCCATTCATTGGGGAAACTGAAATTTTCGCAGTAAAAATCAAACCATTCCTACATTCATCAAACTAATTTTAGCAACTATATAATGTACTCTGTAATTCAGAGTGATGGATCTAACATATTCCATCACGGCGGTGAGTGAACGAAAGCACATTGATAGGTATGATAAACTTCAGCTGCTTCCCCGTACTTGATCTTCTTGTGCCAACTTTAAAAAATAAAAAAGTCAATGAGGTTTACATACAAAAGCTTGTACTGTCAATACTTCAAGTCTAAAATTTGATTTTGTAAGAGCTCAATTCCAAGGCAACAACATTATCTAAAGCAGCAAGCAAGCAATCACGCGTTGTTGGTATGGCCAATGAACAAAAGGCTGGCTGGTGGTGGTAGCCTGACTAAACCGATCCACATTCACTCCATCCCTCAGGCCTCAACCAATAGGATGCCGTCTTCTGCATTATTTACAAAAGTTCAGCATCGGAGAATATAAGGGAACTCAACCATATGAAGTTAGAAGTAGGGATGACAATTTGCCCTGTCCCCGTCGGGGACAGGGATGGGGAAAATTTTCGAGGAACGGAGACGTGGTCAGGGTCTCAGGGAATGTGTGTAATTCCCCGTCAGGGATGGGGATAGGGATACCCCTACCCGCCTAGGGATGGCAACGGGGCGGGGAGCTCCCCCGTCCCCGGCGGGGAGTTGGAAATATTCCCCATCTCCATCCCCAGTCAATTCCTAGTCAAAGTGTTAAATTAGTGCAATTTTTAATAATAATAAAACAATTTGAAAACCTTAGTCCTAATTTCAAAAATTAAAATACTAAGTGTACACACACACACACACACACACACACACATATATATATATATATATATATATATATATATATATATGTGTGTGTGTGTGTGTGTGTGTGTGTGTGTGTGTGTGTGTGTGTACACTTAGTATTTTAATTTTTGAAATTATAATAATTATTTGGGGATGGGGCGGGGAGGGGTATCCCCGTCCCCATCCCTGACGGGGAATTACACACACAGAAGAGCTAGCATTATTAGAGTAATTTGTTTGTAAATAGACCTTTCGTATTAACAATTCAATAACGGTTCACATTCTGCTGGTAAGGCCAGCTGAAATTTTCAGTAGATATTTGATTGTGCATGCAACTACATTGTTAGTGAAGTCCCATTTTAGTTACCTCTTGGGCCGGCTTCGGTCTTCTTCATAATCCATCACTCCACCAGGTTCAGAGTACATCTCCTCATGCCCTCTGTAGTCGATGTCCGCCTGCTTGTTTGTAACTTCTGCCACAATGTAAGTAAGACACATCGACTAGCATATCCAAGTACTTGGATATAAAATCAGTCTCATATCATCAATGTAGGGAAGCTAGGAGTACTACATTGAACACAAAAGCAAATAAACCAGAATTCACTAGGAGAACGAAAACTAGTTTTCACATGTTCCTTAAACATAAAAGGCATCTCCTATTGACCCCTACTAAATCAGCAATGTCTGACACAGGTAGGGTTTTCAACTTTATCCACACAGCACAATTCCAGACACGGGTTAGTTAAGCATACATTTTAGAGGGAGAAAGTCCACAATGTCTAAGAATGTTGCACAGGTGTCTAGCATGACTGGAACTCATTACTTCTATTGTATGTGAAATTAGATAAACTAGCAACTAATGGAATATTCATATTATGAATTGCAAGAGATACTTAGTTTAACTGACCTTGAAGGACAAGGACTTCTTTACTTCTTCAACCTTTTCTTCCATATCCTTCTTGTGCTTCTTGTCCAACTCACTCATTGTATCTGCCCATTTGATCTTCTCTTGAATTGATATGAGAAGATTGTCTGAAGTAGTCAACCTATGGTTTACCAAAATGAAAGTAACGAAAGTTGATTAAGAAAGAGGCGAGGGGTTCAAGTTCATCTCTAAAAAGTCTAAAGGTCACAGAAAAGATAGAGAAGCCACAATCAAATCTACCATAAAGAACTAAGCACTACATACCAATTAGTTAGTGTATTTATCATACTCCCTAATTGACCAGGCCTGAGATCCCTCCCTGCTGCAAATTGCACCTAAAATAGGTGGTGGTTGTCAAATTTGAGATCAGAGAATAAACAGATAAGTAATAATAAATTTGTTATGGAAATTATACCAACCTCAAAGCATCTACGCAACTGGTCCAGCTTTCCCCTAACTATGCCCTGTTCACATAGTCCACAAGAATGGAAAATCAAAGTGCATCAGAATAGTCATGGTCAATAAACTGAAGACCTTATTCACCAGTCACCAGCATAAAAGTATACCCAAGTCAAGGATGAAAAAGGAGTACAACAAACAAGTGTAGCATGAATTTGTTATCTTTGAACTTGTTCCACTAAGAAGAGAATGTATTAACAGAATGTTGGAGAAAGGGGAAGTTCAGTACTCACCACATACATACACTCATTGATGAGGAAATCCTCAAGTTCACGGACATTTGTGATATCCAACTCATGCATAAGTAAATCATATGGCAGCACCTACAAAAGAAGGTAATATGTTCTTGAACATTCAAACAAGTGTTTGTTAAAACAACAATGCAAATGACGTCCACAAGTTTATACCACAGCCCAATGCTCCCCAAATAGTAAAATGAGCATCAGCATGTATAATACATTTAAGAATGATAACCAATGAACAGAAGTAATCCGTAAAATAGAAGAAAGACAGGTAATACAAGAGCACTTGTGTCAACAAGAATACGAGATAATGTTCCCAAGGAATATGTTGTCCCCTTAAAGGACCCAGACAGGTAAGGAATATACCTTGGTCGTTTCAGCCAGTGTAAGCACAGTTAGTTGCTTCAACTTGAGCACTTGATCAGGTCCCAATTGAGGAAGCCTTCCAGCAATACCTGGGAAACCATATAAGCATTGATTAAAGGAGTAAAGCAATGGCAATCAGCAACATAGATTAAACAGAAGTTACAGAATGAGCATATTGAGCATGTTACTCAAGTGCAAAGACATTTGCTTTTCACTTATATACATATATATACATATATATAAACACACACACACACCCTTTAAACTTCTGACCAAAACCTTTTCAGGCATCCAAACAAGAAAGGCCTCCCTAACAATAGTTGGAACTATCAGGGAAGTCAAGAGATACATATGAGTTCATGATTGAAATTATTTGGCCATAGAATATGGAAAAGGTTTGATCATTTCTATCTCAAAATTGTTTTATACTTTTATACAGTACCAAAAAATCACAGGTATACCATACATAACAAAAGTATATTGTACCATAAAGCCAAACGAATATGTAGTACTTCCTAAGGTGAATAAATTGAAAGTGCCCAGAATCCTAGCTGTCATTAAACATGCTGTTCAGGAAAATATGATCCCTTCCAAGGAAGTATTCAAAAAAATATAGAATTAAGAATTATTTTAAGTATACTTAAGATGGAAACTAATCATGCTGAAAGAAGTATATTCAAGTCAGAACAACACAAATCCAGAAATCTTTTTTTTTATTGACATTATATAACCCTCAATTGCCCTTTGCCCTTCCCCCATGAATCAAGAAGTTAATCTACCATAAAACAAGTGAATTAGTGGTATGAACTGATGCTAAACTAGAATCAAAAGAAAGAGCGCTAACTTTTATACTCAGTCCATGTTCCATGAGCAAACATCCTAAGCAAGTCGAGGTAAATAGAATTCTCAGTTCCTTCGAGCTGCACACATAAATCAACAACTAAATTATCAACAATGGTGCCATGGCGATTCACAAGTTGCAAAACTAAAATAATATGTTATGGATGAATAGTATGTAATTTAAAAAAAAAAAAAAATGCAATGGGTCATATGTGGGGGTTGGAAACCTCTAGAACGTTGGGAACGGAGAGAATCTCGGAGAAAGCGAAAAGAGAGGGATGAGAAGTGGCCTCGACGACGACGGTGGTGGATAAGGCGGAACCTTTGAGGGCTGACGCTTGCTTCACGAAGTACTCTATATGCTCCGCTTGCCTTTCTTCAATATCCATCTTCCAATTTCCAATCTTCTGCGAACAAATAAAACTAAATCTGTATGCTTACAACACTTTAAGGATGAGAAGGGTTTGATAGCATTGATACGGCAGGTTTTAGGGTTTATATGCAACCGAGACTCTGCAATTGGAACCTATAGGGTAGAGAGCGAGCAGATGGATCGGTATGAGTTGGTGCGAACAACGAACAATCGGCCAATTAACCCAATTTCTTCACACTTCAATGCGGAGGTCAATCGTGGATGATGACTAACAATCCGCCGGAGACGAGTTGAGTTTTTTTTTTTTTTTTTTTTTTTTTTTAAATTTTAAAAAAAATTAAATTATTTTTAATTGGATGACCAATTAGAAAGGAAGAAAACTTGCAAATTGATTGAAATATATTAGTTTAGAGATTTAATTGTAGGTTTTTTTTTTAGTTCGGTGGCCTAATTGGTTTATTGTGTGCAGTTTCATGGCCTATTTGACCCTTTATTTATTTATTTATTTATTTATTTTAACTTTTTTGTGTTATTTCGCTCAAACCAATATTGTTTTGATTGAAATAACCCATTTAAAAAAAAAAAAAGAAAGGAACAATAGCTAATCGATCGACTATGCGGCCTAGGCGATCCGCGTCTAGCTGACCAGCCGCCTAGACCACTGATTATGGTGATACACTAGGCGGTCGTCCAGCGCCTAGGCGCCAATTAATCGGTGTCTAGACAAGATTTTTACAACACTGCTAAACACTGTTTACTGACATTGTTCTAGGCTAAATACACACCTGTTAGGACATAAATAATAATTTGTGGCTAAAATTCATCTATGAAGACCATTTCACCATGTTGGAATCGCTGGCGTCACATGCATGTTCACGTCCTACACGTCTCTCCGTCTTTGGTGCTTCTTCTCATCTTTGCCGCAACATTTGCTGTCCTTTAGAGTATAAATAGGCTTTGAATTTGCATTGTAAATCATCCCTTGCATCAATTCCTTTGAATTCATTCTCTTTCTTTCTTTCTTTCTCCCTCACGTAGATTTATATATATACATACATATATTCCTTTTATATTCTCTTTTGATATATTTATGATATATTTTGTATTTTCCCTTTGTTAATTATTTATTTGTCATTTATATATTTTTCCTATTAATTAACTTCTATAATTCTCAATTTTCGATTCTTCGCTTCCGCATTATTCCGATATATTCCTAACAAGTGGTATCAAAGCCAAGTTTATTTGAGAATTATTTTCAAAGATGTCGACTGTCACTAAGTTCGATAACGAGAAGTTCGACGGGAAAATTAGCTTCTCTATCTGGAAGGTTCAGATGGAAGCCGTTCTAACCCAGAACGGTTTGAAGAAAGCACTAGCTGGGAAGAAGAAGAAACCGGCAGCAATGACAGATGAAACTTGGGAAGATTTGGATGGCAAGGCACGTTCAACCATTCTTTTGTGCCTGTCTAAAGAGGTTCTACGTGAGGTAGTAAGTGAGACGACTGCGTCAGATTTATGGTCCAAGCTGGATACGCTTTACATGGCCAAAACTCTGGCCAACACGCTGCGTTTGAAGGAGCGTCTGTACACAATCCGTATGACGGAAGGTACTTCTATTAAATCTCACTTGGATGAATTCAATTCTGTTTTATTGGACTTGGAAAATATTGATGTCATAATTGACGATGAGGATCGTGCTGTTTTATTGCTTGTATCTCTCCCTAAATCATACAAGCATTTTAAAGAAATTATGCTGTATGGTAATAGTAGTGATACCCTTACTTTCGACAATGTTAAGTCAAACCTATTGTCCAAAGAAAAGTTTGACTTTGAAATTAAGTCTGAGGACAAAGGTGAAGGCTTTACTGTAAGGGGTCGTTCACTTGAATCAGGGAGTAGCAATAAAAATTCTAGATCCAAGTCCAACAAATCCTGTAAGTACTGCAAGAAGCATGGTCATGATGTGACTGAATGCTTCAAGCTGAAAAACAAGCAAGAGAGAGAAAAGAAGTCTGCTGAAGCTAGTGTTGTTGAAAGTGATTCAGATGGTGATGTGTTGTTATCTGTTAGCTCCGGTGAGAAACGGAGTGAAACCGAGTGGATTTTGGACTCTGGTTGTACATTCCACATGTGTCTGCACAAAGATTGGTTCATTTCTCTGGAACCGGTTGATGGTGGAGTTGTCTTGTTGGGTAATGATACCCAATGCAAGGTTAGTGGAATTGGAAGTGTTCAGATTAAAACTCATGATAACGTTGTTAGGACTCTTACCAATGTTCGGTATATTCCTGATTTGAAACGCAATCTGATATCATTGGGCACCTTGGAATCTCTGGGGTGCAAGTACACAGCTGAAGGTGGAGTTCTAAAGGTCATCAAAGGCTCTTTTGTTCTCATGAAAGCTTCTCGATCTGGAAGCTTGTACGTCTTGCATGGCAGTACTGTGACAGGTTCAGTTGCGGTATCCTCATCAATGTCTGATGCATCTACTAGCACCGCACCTCTCGTCGAGCCACAACGAGAGTATTCCATTGCATGGATCGTCCTAGGAGGACAATTAAAAAACCTGCTAGGTATGCTAGTGATGATGAAAACAACTTGGTTGCTTATGCTCTTTCAGTCACACAGGAGGTTGATGGTGATCCATCCTACTATTCTGAGGTTCTTCCTGTTACTAAGTTCAAGCAGTGTTTGAGTTTAGTCGACTGTTCCAGTTGTTAATTCCATGATGAATTTGATCCAAGGTGGAGATTGTTAGGACATAAATAATAATTTGTGGCTAAAATTCATCCATGAAGACCATTTCACCATGTTGGAATCGCTGGCGTCACATGCATGTTCACGTCCTACACGTCTCTCCGTCTTTGGTGCTTCTTCTCATTTTTGCCGCAACATTTGTTGTCCTTTAGAGTATAAATAGGCTTTGAATTTGCATTGTAAATCATCCCTTGCATCAATTCCATTGAATTCATTCTCTTTCTTTCTTTCTTTCTCCCTCACGTAGATTTATATATATACATATATATATTCCTTTTATATTCTCTTTTGATATATTTATGATATATTTTATATTTTCCCTTTGTTAATTATTTATTTGTCATTTATATATTTTCCCTATTAATTAACTTCTATAATTCTCAATTTTCGATTCTTCGCTTCCGCATTATTCCGATATATTCCTAACAACACCTTCCAAACATGCATCATCGTTTTAGTCTAAATATGCATATTAGCATATGTAGATATAAAAAAATAATAATAATCTAAACATGCATCGTTTTGAAATAATACGTATTATTTTTTTTTTTTGAAAGTTACTGGCTCTATTACATTGGCCAAAATAATAATACGTATTATTTATTCATTCAAAATTTATCTTATTTATAGACGGACAAATTCCGTATAACTTTGGCTCCGTTAGAAATTTTATACAAAAAATTTAGCAAAACTTGCAAAATGCAAAACATATGTGAAAAATAATGCGTATATATATATATATATATATATATATATATATATATATATATATATATATATATATATATATATATAATCGCACTCAAATGCTTCGCCCAGGCGTGAAATAGGAATGAATTCTGTTCGTCCACGTGTCCAGGTCTAATGGATGAGAAACACTAATTTTTTAAAAATACGCGGTGGCATTTTCGTAAATAATTGAACATCGAAGTGCAAGTAAAATGTATTACAAGTGCATGTAAAATGTATTATAGGTGCAAGTAAAAATTTACACTGAGCATCAATACTTAGTTGCACCTATAGTTCTAAGTAGTTGCACAAATAGTTCTAAGTAGTTGCACACATAGTTATAAGTAGTTGCACCTAGGTGTATGAATGTTTGCGAGTGGTTTTCAGGGGTATTACTACCCGCTGAACTCAGATCAATGAATGTTAACAAGGCAAAATTACATGCACTTATAGGTGAAAGTAGGTGCACCTATAGTTATAAGTAGTTGCACCTATATTTATAAATAGTTGCACATATAGTTATAAGCACACCCAGGTGCATGAATGTTTGCGGAAAGTGAATGCTAAAAAGGCAAAATTACATGCACTTATAGGTGAAAGTAGGTGCACTTGTAAGTGATTTTACTTGCACTTCGATGTTCAATTATTTACGAAAATGTCACCGCATTTTCTTTTAAGTTATTAGATATATATATCCTTTATTATATATATATATCCTTTATATAATAAAGCTATATGGTTTGGAAAATAATTAATATTACAATTAATGCCACAACATCTTATATATATATTTGAAATACTCATGACTCTTTACAGTGTTCTATATACTTTTCAAAACTTTTCTAACATTTTCAGCTCAAAGAATCTAAACCCCCACCACCGAGATTCAAACCTATAATCATCCATTTGGAATGGTAATCGGGATGCCATCACACTACATGGTAGTTGACTTAAAATGCATTTAACAATATTACAAAACTGATTACATAAGATGCATTTGGCGATATATATTTACAAAACCTAAAACGCAAGTCTCAAAGTCAGTATAGTCTAGAGTAGAAAGTACTCCATCCTTTACCAACCTTTTAATACGCTCAAGGGAGATATGACCTAATCTCCGATGCCACAACATTGAAGAATTGTCATTAATACTACACCGTTTGGTGCCGTTTTGAACATGTAAAGAATTGTAAACTGAATCATTCTTTAATTTAAGACGGAAAAGACCATCAGACATTGTACCAGTACCAACACAAGTAGAATAATGAAATAACTTGAAATCATTGGTATTAAATTCAAAAGAATATCCGAAGGGTACAAGTCTAGATACTGAAACTAAGTTCCTAGAAAAACTAGGAACATAAAATGTCCTTTCTAACTTCAATACAAAGCCATTGTCCAAAACTAAATTGCAAACTCCGACAGCTTCTACTGGTGATGCAATCTTGTTTCCAGAGAAGATGCTACACTCAGTTCCCGACGGCTGTCTAAGTTTTGTCATATCCTGCAAAGAGTTTGCAATGTGGATTGTTGAACCAGAGTCAACCCACCAAGAACTAGTATTAACTTCTAACATATTAGATTCGAAACAAACAAAAGAAGATGGAACATACCCAAGCTTAGCCACAAGCCTTCGTTCCTCCATTGCACACCTGGTTATCAACTCATTGATAGACCAGTCCACTTTATGTGTGATGTAGGAAATCTTAAAAGGATTGTACTCCGAGGGAGGGTATCCAGTGCAAAACACACCAAAAAATCATATGGTACAATGATTTCCAACT